AACTTTGAAAAGATCTGAACTATCACTTTATATTGAATTGCGAATGACAGTAAAGAACTTTGAACCTTGAGAACGTCAGTGTCTAGGTGTTTGATGCTCTAACCAGACCATGCACCCTGAGAAGAAGTGAAGGAAAGACAAAGGTACTGTATGTATGTGACTCTGCGTCAGTGCATGTGATCGGGAGTGGAGCCTTTCTTTATACTCGTTCTTTAAAAGCTTATTTCTACAACGTCCATCTTGAGTCACCCAGTAGACCTCCCCCTCCTCCTCCCCCTGCCCCTTCTGTCTTGTGCGAGCAACAATAGTCTATTCTGTGCCGTCCCGTGCGACTGCAGACACACCCAAAGCCAAGGCCACGGCACGAGGGGAGACAGTTGGCCGATGTCCAGCTGGGAGGGACACTGACTCAATTCTCGTCTGGGGGGAACCAGTCCTGCTTGTACTGGGGGTAGTTGGTGTTGGTCTTATTTTTTTCAAGTGAAAACGGTAGTTCAGATTCTCCCAACAGGGCAGCCTTTAACAAAATGGCAAGTTTCTACACGCCAAGGTTCATTTAGATAAAAACAATAATGCCTTCTAAAGTTTACAAACTGAATCAGCTGACACCTGATTTTTTTTAACACCATCCTTGCGTTTTTGTGTAGATGCACAAAATACTACAAGCTTTTGAAAATGATGATGTCATAGCCTTACCTCGTGTCAATGGCAGTAACAAAAATGTTAAATTGCATGGTTGGTTGGTGCTGCAGATTCTACAGGACCTTGTTGCTCAACTACACATGCAGATAATGGATTACTCTGATCAGTGCAACACTGACCAAAAGTAACAAGCTGTACGCCGATGTCCCTCGTCGCTGTGGGATTTGAATAATGAATGTTTTGTAGTTTTCAAGATGAGTGTTTCTTTGGACTGAAATTGAACAGGGAAGCCTCAGTGTTTTTGCTGTAACATATTCATGTGAGCTGGAGTTACACTGTGTATAAGAAGACAGGTAGGTTATTTATTTATTTACTTATTTATTTTATTTTTTGCTTGTCCAGAGGGATGGACCCTGGTAAGCAGAGGGCGCAATTTTATCCTCCGGGCAGCGGGCACAGTGGTGGAGCCAGGGGGTGGCCAATGGTGGCCTTGAACTCTATGGATTCATCTTTGGCCTCCTGACTGGGCACCCAAACCATATGAGTGTACTATACTTTTACTTTACTAACTATATTTTAGGCAATATAAAAACTAGAAAGTACAGTAATCCCTTACTACTTTGCGGTTCATTTTTTGCGGATTCACTCTATCGTGGTTTTTCATAATAAGCCTGGACATGACACACAATGGTTGATTGATGGATGAGCCGCACGATTGGCATGGAGTTTTTATTTTAAATGGTTTAGCATCGGTGTGCAGCTCACAGCTGTGAGATAACTTCCTACTGCAGCTGATTAGCTGATCTTCATGCAGAGCGGACATGACATGCTGTGTTCTTTTAGAGCGTTTATAGAGTTTAGAAACATTGTTTAGAATATTGCAAGAGTGTGGGTGGGTTTAAAACACCTTTATATATATATATAGTATAAATATATATGTATATATAAACAGTATATATATATATATATATATATGTATGTATATATATATATATATATATATATAT